TTTCCCTTTTGCCAAGGGTTTGCTTTTCCCTTTTGCCAAGGGTTTGCAAGCTGGTCTTTTTGCAACAAAGCCCAAGCTTTTCTGCAGCTTTGCTTTCTCTTCTGCCTGATCCTCCTTTGGCTCTTGAGTGGTTGCCAGCTGCCCCTGCCTTCTTCTCAAGAAAGAGGGCTGGGGCAGTGCTTTTGCCAAGGAATCCTCACCTCCTTTTGCCAAGGAGTCTTCCAAGGCACTCCCTTTTGGCAAGGGGTGTTCATTCTCTCCTGCTGGTGGTGTTACAAAGCAAGCAGGGTAGCCTTGGCTGTCCAAGGACACTTCACTGATTTCCTTTTTCAATTTCTTCTCTGGTTGCTTTTGCTCTTCTTCTTCCCTTTTGGCAAGGGGTAATGCATGCATTTCATTGTCCTTCTTCTCCATGATGTCAATGACTTCCTGCAAATGCATGAACTCCAGAGATGTTAGCTTGCCAGCACACATCCTCAGGTCTTCTCCTTGTTTCAGTCTTCTCATGTGGTATAGGACCACCCCTACCCTTTCCACTCTGACATTGACCCAGAGGCCACCATTCCAATTACTCTTGTTGAGGGCTGGGTGCTCCATCAAAACCTGCATTACAGCTTGCCTCAGATTCCCTGGGTGTATCTCAGCTGTTGGCTCCAAAGCCACCAGCCCTTTTACCAAGGGCAACACCTTCAGCAATGCCTTTGGGTTACAGCATTGGTTCCTGGAGATCTGCTCATAAGGGCCCAAATCAGCCAACAGATCCTTGCGATCTGCAAGGCATGTAACCAGCAAGTCAACATCAACCACTGGTTTGCTTGTGTGCCTGGCACCACCCTTGCCCATCACCCTTTTGTCAAGGGGTAAGGCAGCCCTTTTATCAAAAGATTAGATCCCTTTTGTCAAGGGATTAGATCCCTTTTCTCAAGGGCTTTGATCCCTTTTCTCAAGGGATTATTACCCTTTTCTCAAGGGGCTTACCCATTTTGTCAAGGGTTCAACTTGCTGTTTGAGATAGAAAAATTGCTGCAAAAAAATCAATAAAGGAATCAATAGCAAAATCAATTAAAAAATCAATATATTTCTTATCACAAATCTATTGATAATATCAATAAATTTTGCTATTGAAAATTTCAATTAAAAACAATAGGTTTTAATTGATTAGAATCAATAGAGGATGCTCAGGGTGCCACCTGTTCCATTCCTTTTGGGCTTCCTCCACTACCACGCCTGTCCAAACGGCCCTCCTCGCGCCTTCCGCCCACTTTTGGTCAGCATCCATGCGGCAGCCAAGCCGCTAGGGCCGCTGCCGACCACCAGCACTGGCTTGGACACATCCTCGAACGGGTCACAACTTGGACCGGACCTTGTTCGTTCCTTAAATCCCTAGGGACATGCTTTTCGCCTAAAAACAAGTATGTATATAAGTATACGTACCATATGTACTTGTACCATCTTGTATCCATCTTTACGACCTGAGACTTAAGTTTTGACACTTAATCTTCACACTGGACTCAAATCGAGATGGACGAAACCCAAATTAACAGGTTGTAGGAGTCAGGGACATGGATTCTGTGAGCCACGGGCCCTTTTCGGCACATCGACACTGGAAACTGACCCACGGACCTATTTTTGGATGGAGGACAAGTGGAAGATGATATCATATTAATTCATATTATATATATATATATATATAGGATCATTGTGATGCTTTAAACAACTATGCACGCTCCAATCCTTTCGTGATCACGCTCCTTCTTCGTCTTTCAAAGAGACCTCATCGACCCCTGTGTTCGCATGGCGTCGTGTTTTCTCCGGTTTTCTCATCAAAATCACCGCCGACCTCTGGCCAAGGCGTTGGGAGACTACTCGGCCGCGTCGCTGTTTTCTCGTTGCACTGGAGATCCATTCATTGCAGCTTCGCAGCAAATCCCTCCTCACCCATCCATGGATCCCTTAAAGACTGACTTTTTGGTTGCTCTACTGTCCCAGGGACGTAGTCAACAAAAATTGGTCCATGTGTTCGTGTCCAAGAGGCACGGTTTTAAGGAAATGGGCGCACTCATCAAATCGGCAGCTTGCATCAATCAAGGAGATGTGCAGCTCAAAATCCATCACCCAGGGGTCACACGGAGTTGGGTGGTGTTTAGCCCCCATCCAGTGGCCGTGGATGTGACGTAAGGGCACCCCAACTCCTTCCGTTCGTTCGGAACCGGCACCGAACGTGACTCCTCGAAGTGGTACACCTCGATGCACCTGCACCTCCCGGACTACCGGAACCGCCTCCCTGAGATGCGCGCATCGGCTGCGACTCGTCTCGGAACCAAGCTTCGAAGCTTGCGTTCAGGACTTTCGAAGCTGGTGCAAAGTACCTCGGTCCCATCGAGCTATACAGACGCGACGCGGAGGTCGGCCGGCGCACGCAGCTTACTCGGTGCTCTCCTTTCCGCCCACCCGGTGCAAACGCACGAGGAACTCGTGTCTGGCGGAGTCTCAGTACCCAAGATGAGACGAGAAAAGTACCTCTGGTGTACTTGGCTCATCCTCAAGTCAAAGTGTTCAACGGATTTGACAGCGACGTCGGTGGTTAGTGGCGGTGGGACCGCTACCAGGGCCTTCTGACAGGTCCAGGTGCTTTGGGACCCTGATGAAATGATTTCTGGGCAGGCCTTCAAAATAGAAACTTGTCCTTGGGGCTCCAGCTCTACCTCCTGCATGGGGTGGTTTGGAGGGTCTGGCTACCTTCTCAGGATGTGGTTGGAGCATGTTGGAGCCCCGGGGTGGTCCCCGATCTTGGTGTGTGACTTTCAAGTGTTTGTATCGGATTGCCAAGTGCTTCAAATCATCTGTGTAGCTCTGACTCCCTTGACGCTTCCCTGAAAAATAGACACTCAACGCTTCCCATCCGTTCATATATTTAGGTGGAGAAATGAATCCAAAAAAGTGTTGAAGGACTTGTTGAAGGTTATCCAATGACTGGGTAGGACTTGTTGGGACTTGTGTGAAACATGTCCTTTGGACTTCGCGGTTTGAAGCACGACAGTTCAAACACATGCTTTAGTGAGGCAACATGTAAGCCTTGCAACTCTCCGTTTGGCTAAGCAGCTAAGCACTTCTGCTACCCTACCCATTCGCGTGTAGTACATTATCGGCTTTTGGCTTCGAAAAATTAGCCGTTGATGCTTCCAAGAAAACCAATCAGCAAAGAGAACCCTGGCTGACTATGAACACCTCGGAAAAAAAGAGAAAGCATTGGTCGATCCGTTGGTCAATCCAGTAGTCCATGTCAAATGATCTGCAGAACATTGCAGAACACTGTGTCGACACTGAGCTTCATTCATCGCGAGGACGTGCCAAGTGGCAGCACCAGGAAAAACGACGTGAAACTCAGCAGCGCGAGGAGTGGCGCACTGATCAAGACCTGGAGGAGCAGGACAGTGGCGAGCAGTGGCGAGCAGTGGCGAGAGCAGGTCCGGCGTCGTGGTGGAATGGCCCGGAACCCGGAAAGAAGTCTTATCAATTGAATGGACAGGCAAAGTCACTGCTTCATGATTCATCTCATGATGCCCTGTTGATCTACAAACCCAAGGTGTTCACCCCTATATGGGTTTCCTGTAGATCCCGGTTTGAGGTCACTTGGGTCTGTAAAAGGTCGGAACTCCAAAGAGGTCACGAACTGAAGAACCAGGTAGATTTTCCCTTAAAACCATTCTGGGAATCTATTCTATCGCTTTTTCTCCGGAAAGGACCCGTCGAAGCCCGTCGCGAAGAAGCCGGCCGCGAAGCGAGGAAGCCGGCCGCGAGACGGAGGCTTCGTGGGGCCCAAACGCTGATGAGTAAGAACGGGCGCTACTATATAAGGAGCAAGAAGCTAGTAGCTCCTGGCATTACTAGTAATGCCCTTTGTTATCTATACCTGGAGTCTCAGTTCGTACCTTGGAAAATGGGTACAGTCGTACCTTTTTTTTATGGGGTCATGTCCCAGGCTTCTAAGGTACTTGGTTAGTCGGGTCCAGGTAGTAGCTAAATGCCCTTTTCTCATAGTAGCTTCTTGTTAGTAGTGTCCTGTTGCACAGAGTCGTTCTTCTGCCCAAATGAGAAAGCCCACGGCACCGGGAGAGAAGACCCGCGGACCCGAATCCTCTTGAGCTTCTGCCGTTTCTCACCAATCCCTATCCCAAACGCTCCATGGGACTGCCATAGGACTGCCGATCAGTTGGGGTGGTGCCAGGGGGGTCAATGTAGGCATATATGCTATACATGGAGTGTATGGGTATAGGTTTTTGGTTGGACCGGTTGGGCTGGGAACTCACGGAGGGCCTGGGGAAGTTCCGGTGAAGACTGGGGGAGTGAAGACTTGAGAGTTACCCAAAAAAAGCCATGCGAAGAAGGAACGGCCCGAACCAACAAAGAGGGTTTCTTGGGCCCTAGAGCTCCAAATGGCTCCAAGTACCTCCTCAGAAGGTATGACTGGACCCTCCAAATTGTCTAAACCCACCCCAAACGCCTTCTCAGAAGGTATTTGGAGCACTGGGGAGGGTTTGGTTTTGTTCCCGGACGCTGGACGTGTTTTGGAGGGCCCGTAACGGGTTCTGAGGAGTCTACAAAAACATGGGCTCATCACCTTGGAACATGTTGGAACACCCCATCGATGATGATAACCTTGGATCATTGTGGAAGGTTTTATTGATGATCATAAATTATTCCAAAACCGAAAGCCTCTTTAAGTTTTTTTTCCGGTTAAAACATATTAAAACCAAACATCCAAGCCAAGTGGCACATCTCCATAACCGGCTCCTCAAACCGCACCTGTCGAACAAGAGATCTGGCCAAAGACCCAAATCCTTGTGCTCTCAGAATTGGGACATGTGTGTCTTCCCTATGCATGTACGTACGTACGTATATGTATTTATATATTTAACTATATTTATATGATATTTAATGTATGTTGTGTTGTTATAATGTATGTACTTGTACATTGTGTTTGTATAATATGTTTCCCTGATATCATATATGCGTTCCATATTCTAGATGTTCAAACCCAGGTTCTCCGTATATATGTCACAGTTCAGAATCTTCGTGGATGAATGATCCTGAGAAACTGAGGCTGAAAAAAAGATACAATTCAAGAGAAACAAATTAAACATGTTGGAACCCTTCAGTGTTTGACGCATGGGGAATGTTTGAGGTCGCTTCGTATCGCGAACTGGTCAGTTTAGACCAAACCACACACTGACCTGTCTCAAACTATATAGGGGCCTAGTTTCAGCATTCTGAAAGGCAGACAAAAAACACAAACATGATCAGAGCCATCCTTGGAAAGTGGCAAAGGGTAAACATAAACATGCTCGATGCCTGGATGAATATAATTATGTCATTACCCAAACACTCCATGTCTGTCATATATGCCTACATTGACCCTCACACCACCCCAATGTAGGCAAATAATATACCATACATGGAGTGTTGGGTTATATGTCTACATCTCGCCATGTAAGCAAATCCAAAGCGGATCAAGCTGGGAACTTGAGACCTTCCAACATGATCTGCGTTGATCTCTCCCGATTCCATCTCCCGAGCTGGTCACTCAGTGCAGGGTGCATTCCTTTGAATGTGTCCGGATTTCGGAGAGGAAAGCCTAATAGGTTTGGGCAGGGCCAGCCGCGGGTTCCGCGCCCCAAATCCTTTTCTTGCGAGTGGAGTGCACATGTATGATCTGCTCAGGACCTGATCCTGAGCCGAAGCTGTCTTCGATGTCAGGATCAGGTCACAGGCCTCAGAACCTGGGGACGTAAACAATTAGAGACTCCACTTAGAGGTCACAAACGGAAGGTCCTGGTATGTTTCCGATGGTCGAACCGGCTGAAGTCTCCCGATCCACACCATTCCACACCCATGATTGTTCGCTCCCCTCGTCTTCCGTCGAAAAAAGCCGCCTTTGGCACATGCTCAAGAAGCAAGGTGTCAACGTTAGGAGGAACAAGAAGGTGACCTCAGGTTGTGGCCGATCCCGAGCCTTTGGTGCTGCGAGCACGAACCTAGCGATGTAAACCAGAAAAAACGCCCAACAAAAAAACGTTGCTTAGTGTGAGCCTTTGGGTTCCCAGCCGGATCCCATCATGACTCCCCCCCCAAAAAAAACATGACTGGTACCCATTGTCCTGGTACCCAGCCGCGTCGACGAAGCGACTCCGTCCGCTTCGGTCCGAGCCGTGGGACTGGTTGACGGAAAGGGAACTTGAAGTACACCTAGTACCCAGACACTCCATCAAACTGCC